AAAAAGTTGAAGGGTTCCAGTTCAGCTCTAAAGAGTGGGAAATAAATATAATTTTATCTTAATCAAAAAATATACAATTTCGAAAGTTGCCAAAATACAATGTGTAGATAAATGACGGTGGTTTTTTTTTATACATATTTTATTGTTTTCTAAATAGTTGTTGGGAATATGACTTTTGGGATTTTTGATGTGGGAATTAAAATTGTACAGCTAATAATAGAATATTTATATATATTTTTTTTGAGTCTAATAATATTTTCTTTAAACTTAACCTTTGTACAACAAGAATTAATCTGGCAATGCTTCTCCTTACTCTGTATATTTTGTATTTTGTTCTTTGGTAATATCTCCATGTACCTTCTTGGGTTTCTACGGTTCTATCGAATCAAAGCCAAGACCGTGAGCCCCTCCGATTTCAATTTACTTGCAACGTTCGGTGCGCCTCAATCTGGCCATTCATGACTTCCTTTCGTTTGGTTTATCTCCGCGGGAAGCGCGGCGCTTTAAGTGTGCCCCTGAAACATGCCAAAAGGCGAAAATCGGAGGGGGTTAATGGGGGCCTAGAAACCCCCGAGGCGTCACACACTCACCCAGATAGGCGGCCTGCCAAAATGCAACGTATTACAGTTATTTCGATCAAAGAGCTAGCGCTACTCAGCTACTGAGCTACTCGTCTTGGCCAAACGCCAGATTGTTGCCAATTAATTGTTTTTGTTATTGTTGTCGTTTGGCCGACACTCACTCGGCAGCGCAAATGTGTTGCGCAATCGCACAACGGTAAAACGTGCGAATTGCAGCGACGCTGCCAGGTGAGAAACTTGAATCAGTGAAAGTGGCCGAAAGAGAGGCTTTGGCTTCGACTTTTGCCTTGTGTACCACGAGGCGTATGAGCAATCTGTTCACACGTCGTCACAGTCAGGCGAAAAATACGAAAACACAAAAAGACCAGAAGCACTTTGATTGAATTTACTGTGTTTTGATTACGTTTTAGCCCAACCACGCCTCCTATTTCATTTTTTTTTTGCTTTTTCCCGCCAGCGTGCTCTGCATATTTAAGGCAATTTTATTTGGGTTTCGATGTCTCTGGTCGTTCGTGTTTCAGCCGCTTTATGGCATGAGTCTATAATTTGATAGAGCCAACACGATACGTATGATTATTGGTTTCGCTTCCTTATTTCTGCTAATTAACTGCTTCGGCTGCTGCGGCTTTCTTTCGAACTGAAATTGGGCTAATGGGTTGAGTGGAAAAACTATGTGGCAAATTGTGTCGCTGTCTGCGGATTTTCACTTTCGCCGCCCGAGTCTCGGCCAATTAAACTATTGCAAAATATTCCGCCGTTCGTGGCGGTTGTCTTTCATAATTTTCTATTAATTTCGTAATCGCAAAGAAAGCGGTCTGCCGTTAGGGAAATCGCCTTTATGGCAGCTAGTCTGCTGAAATGTAGTGTGAGGTAGATGGGAAAATTAAATTGCACAGTTGGAAAGATTTTAAAACGGTGGAAAGCCTTTCGGAATTCTCTGATTGAATCTTTGATTTAGTTTGCTTCAAAAAATGAATTGGTTTTTGCTCTAATTGGGAGTTTTAGACATTTTTTAAAGAAATACAAATGTGTACTTTATTATTGAGAAACTTTAACTTTTTAATGAATATTTTCTATTTTTTTTGGATTGAGCTTATTAAAAATTATTTCTTTAAAATTAATAATGTTAATAATAATAATAATGTCTAGCTTTTACAAATTATATATATTTAAATATTTGGAAAGCTGTAAATGAAACATATATTTTTTTACAAAGTATAATTATATTTAAAAATTTTATCCAGAGGCCATACAATAATTATTATAGATGTCATAATAAAATAAATTTATAATGAATATAAAACTCTGAAAACAGCAACCTAATGGCTCAGCCTATCTGCATAACCCAGCAACAAATTTTCCGTACTAACAACCCGGAAATTCAATGCCTATCACATTTTCCCACAAATAATTAATTTCACAAAAAAAAGAGCGGTAGAAAGATATAAAACATACACACAGAAAGCTGTAAAAAGAGTAAAAAAAGGAACAAAAAAGCAATGCAAATGAGCGCAAATACGGAATGAATGCAATGCACACAAAAGCCGCAGCAGCAAAAGCAACAACGCCAGAGCAAACACACAGAGACAGCGCAACAATCGAAAGTGTTACACTTTCTGCACTTCACCAAAAACAACAACAGCAACAACAACGAAAACTTCCCCCAACAACAATGGCAACAAACCATAAAAGAAGAGTGCGATGTAGTTTATAAATCGATGTAATACAACGAGGCACTCAGGCGCAACAACAACTGGAAAATCACTAACAACACCATGAAAAACACCAACAAAAAACCCGTCTCAGTTGCGCCATCGTTGCGCATGCGCACCGTATGACTAAAAGTGCAGAGAGAGTAAGGGAGATGGGGAGAAAGAGTGAGAGAGATGGACGGAGACAGGTGAAAGGGGCGGACAGTTGTTGTTGTACGTGTCTGTGTCGGCGACTGAAAAGAAAAATGCAAAAAGTTGCATAATGTTGCAAAAGCATTTTTCTAAAGCACTTTACATTTTTCTAAATATTAGCTATTTTTCAATTTTATTTTTATTGTTATGATAATGCAGGGGTTCCCAAACTGGGTCCCCGAAATAAACTTTCGCGTGGAATTAATTTTCATAAATACTCCTCAATGTCGTTCGCATATCGTCATAGCATCGTCTCCGATTTAATTCTTCCCCCAGAAGTCGAATCGATTTGCGTTTGCGTATTTTAAACTGGTTTCTCCGAATGCTTTTTTGGGGATAGTTTTTTGGAAGCTTGAGACTCGTTTTTTCCTGCCGGTTAAGCACTCTCACTTTCATTTCGCTTATAAAGGGGGTGAGCGGGGTATGCAGTTTTCTGGCAGTTGAGACGGATGTGGCTGGGAATCAAAATTTTAATTGGTTTAATGGATATTTCGATAAAAAGGAAAAAGGCGGATAAATTTACAGATAAACAACAAATTATTGGACAAACAATATTGATTTAAAGATCAAACGATACGAAACGGGAATATCAAACTTTGGTATACCAGGACAAATATAAATTAGAAAAGCTAACATTTTTATTAAGTCATTGTGCTCTTTTATTAACAATTTAAAGACCATTAATAACATTTTCAATGAATTACTGTTACTCACTTCCTTCAACTCTATCAACATTTCCTCGACTTCCTCTTAAGCCGACTTGCACTTCATCAAAATCACAGTCACTAAAACCGCCAGTCAACCAAAATTTACGCTGTTTCATACTAAAACCCGAAAAAAAACGAAACAAAAAGTGAAAGTTTAATTCCAAAAAAAATACTATATACATATCTGAAAAACCTACGAACCGTGGTCCACTAAAAATTGTGGCCAAACCATTAACACAACAAAGACCACCAGTGCTGCCATTTTGTCCTTTTTCCGAAAAAATTTTCCTTTTTTTTACCCTTTTTTCCAAAAAAAATTAAAAACCCCCCCCCCCCAAAACATCTTTTTTTTTAAAAAAAAATTTTTTTTTTTTTTTTTTAATAGAAAAAAAAAAAAAAAAATTTTTTTAAATAAAAAAACTTTTATAAACCAACTTTCTTTTTGTTCCTAAAAAAAAAAAAATTTTTAAAAAAAAAAAAAAAAAAAAAAAAAAAAAAAAAATTTTTTTTTTTTAAAAATTATTTTTTTTAAAAAAAAAAAAAAAAAAAAAAAAAAAAAAAAAATTTAAATTTTATTTTTTTTTAAAAAAAAAAAAAAAAAAAAAAAAAATTAATTTATTTTTTTAAAAAAAAAAAAAAATTTTTTTATTAAAAAAAAAAAAAAAAAAAAAAAAAAAAAAAAAAAAAAAAAAAAAAAAAAAAAAAAAAAAAAAAAAAAAAAAAAAAAAAAAAAAAAAAAAAAAAAAAAAAAAAAAAAAAAGAAAATAAAAAAAAAAAAAAAAAAAAAAAAAAAAAAAAAAAAAAAAAAAAAAAAAAAAAAAAAAAAAAAAAAAAAAAAAAAAAAAAAAAAAAAAAAAAAATTTTTTTTTTTTTTTTTTTTTTTTTTTTTTTTTTTTTTTTTTTTTTTTTTTTTTTTTTTTTTTTTTTTTTTTTTTTTTTTTTTTTTTTTTTTGTGTAAGACCACAGAGCCAACAAGTTACAGAAAAATAATATACAAGTAATAAGCATAATATTATTATTAGGTCCATAAAAACTATGACCAAAAAAGAGAACTGGAAGTGTGTGAGAGCGTTTCACCAGAAAAACAATAAATTTGTTGTCGTAGGCCCAGAAAGAGAGAACGCCCTCTCTATCTATCCCTTTCTAATGAAAGTGAAATACTGACCAAAAACGCACGAAAATTATGCAAATTATTTTAATTACCAAAAATGAGAAATTTCTTTTGTCGACACAAAGAAGATAAAAACCCCCAGCCGAAAAAGGTAAAATAAAATAAAAAGGTGCGAGGGCTCCCAAAGATGACACAGAAAAAAATTCGCTGACCCACTTAAAATGGCAAGAGAAACTGAAACCGAAACTGAAGCAGAAACAAGAGAAGATTAAGTTGAATTCCTGTTTTGGGTTCGCTTCTAAAAATAAACCGAAAGACAAGATTCCTGCTGCTTAACACACAAATCAACAATGTTGATGACAGTGAAAGTGAACCGAAAAAGAAATAAATTCAGATCGAAGGCAATAAAATAAAAGTAAAAGTACCTTTTGTGATATTCATGAAGGAGTAAAATATACATCCTTTTCGGTTTCGTATTCGCAAATGTATTAAATGTACTTACAATCTACATTGTACATTTGTCAGATCTGCTGATTTATATCATCACATTTGCATGCTTTATGTTATTATTCCTATCTATATTGTTTCTGTCTTTCCTGTACTTGTTCTTGTTTGTTTTTATTGTTTTCTTTTGTTAAAGAATCAATATTGTATTTCTTTTCTACTATCTTTCTTTTCCGTTTCTTCTGTTTTACAGGCAGGAAATCTCCATTTTTGGGTTTCATTTGCAAAGCAAACGGTAATTTGGTTTTTGTCTTTTTTTCGTTATTAGTTTGTTTTATCTTTATGATGTTTTTGTATTTTGGACATTGTGTTTTTAATGTCTTTTGTTTGTGTTTTATTTAATTGCCATGCGAAAGTCTTTTTCTACCACTTTTTGAATGAGTTTTTTGCGCTTATTGTGTTTAATATTTTACTGAGTCTTTACTGAATCTTTTGGATAATATTTTGATAATAATTTTAATAGCCCATAATTTGATTTAAATTTGAAAACATGTCACATTTATATTAAGTTAATTTAACAACCTATACTTATGATGTTTTTTCAATTTCTTGCCTTGGCTTAAGATAAAAGAAATAGGTTTCACTGTTAAATTTGGTTTTAAATGTTAAAGAAAGCTTGTAAAATTAGTATTATATTAATTTTAGATCGTTAAGCTTGAAACGAAATCGTAAAATAGAGTATAAAGTTTTAATTTATCATTTTTTGTTTTTGCTTCTTAGCAAAGTTTATTATTAATCAAAATACAGTTTTATAAATATGTGTACCACATTAATGTTTATAACACCAATTATGTTTCGATAAGTTTATCTGAAGTGAACAATAATTTGTATTATTAAATTTATATTATCCTTTGTGCTTTTATATTAATTAATTATTTTGTAACATTTTTTGTAGTTTACATTTTTTTTTAAGTTTGTTTTTTTATTACATTTTTGTATTTATTGCCAAAAGTGCTTTTATAAATCGTCATTAATACCCATACACAAATGTTTCCCAGACTTCGATTCCTAAAGATAAGGCCAAAGTCTCTGGCCAAAAAGTTCATGAATACGTTACCCATACGCCTCGTGGGCCATTGCATTTGCCGATTCGCAAGTCCTAATTTTCCCCAAACACCAGATATTACTTCACAGACACTTGAGCATTTCACTTACGCTTTGGTGAGCACATCGAAAAGAAAAGATATTACTTCATGGCACAGACCAGAAATGTGTGTGTTTGGTTTGGCGCCGAAGAAGTCGAGGAAAGAAAGAGGCAAGCCACAAAATGGCATAAAATTTCGCAATAGTCCGTAATGCAAAAAGCGGCAGTAGCAACAACTGTAAATGTAAAAAAAAATCAGAAATACAAGAAAAAAGCATTCGCAAATGAAAGTGAGAGTGAATAAGAAAGCGGAAACTATTGCGAGCCGAAGAAACCAAAGACGGCAACTGGTTTCTGTTACTGTCTGTGGCCAGAAAACGGGTTTTGTGAAAGAAATCAAAGAAAAGAAGCGAAAAGCAGAGAAAGATCATGCTCAGCTGCGCATGCGCAGCGTCAAAGCCGAAATAAAGCTTCGACGACAAAAAAATACACTCATGTTGGCTACAATAGGGCTGAAAGCTTTTTACCATCCTCGAGTGTTTGAGTTTTTTTTACATTTATTTTTTTTCTCAGCTGGAAGCGATAAAAATCAGTTTGAAAGCCGTAGTAAAAATTTCACTTTCGCTTTTCGTATGTTCGCTGCTTCCTCTTGCCGTTGTTTGCTTTGTGTGTGTAATTTGTTTGTTTGTTGGTTTTTGGTTTTCTGTCTTTGTTTCGTTTTGTTTGCCTGTAACCCGTTTTTTTATGGCCAAAAGCTGCATGCGGAAATTCGCGGAAATTGTTTTCAGCTATATGTGTGGTTCCCATACGATTCCGAAAGAATTCGAATGGTTTATATAATAGAGAAGTGAAGAGTACTTGACCCACTTCCAAGTATTGGGATAAGATATCAAACCCTTAACTTCCCGTATTTATAGACCGCAATCTAATCGCAAAGTTATGGCCCTGACTAATTGACCACCCTTTTATTTTTGCAGGCAAATCCACATCGAATAGCAAAGAAATCATCTGCCCAGATGACAAATACAAGGAGGAGGGCGACATCTGGAATGTCGAGGCGCAAACGGCGTTTCTGGGCCCAAATCTGTGGGACAAGACCCTGCCCTATGATGCCGACCTCAAGGTAACACAAGTTAGTATCATTTCTGTCATCGCTGCGTAGTGGCTGCGTCTTTTTATACAATGTTCCAAAGGTCGAAATTACACACAAAGCTCAAAATTGTACATGAAAAGGCTGATTTCACTGGAGCATTTGGACTAAAGGTGTGAACTTTTCAGTGGAAAATAGCTAATAAAACTTTATTCCACTGACACATTCACTAATTGATCTATAAAATCAAAAAATTATCAACGCATTCAGTGGAAACAGCCTAAAACACACATAAACACCAGTACAGTCATGACAAAACACACGGCGAAACAGTTAACTTAAATGTTATCGATTGCTTACTTAGTGCGAGAATTGTATTCTCATCATCCGAGCTCAGATCGTGTGACTAACCCCGAGGAATTACCTGCTCCTCTCATCCGTGTCCAGTTGTTCATAGCATCTTTCGTATTTAATATTTTAGTATGCCGACCTAGACGAGTTCCTGTCGGAGAACAACATACCTGATGGCCTGCCCGGCACGCATCTGGGTCACTCGAGTGGTCTGGGTCACCGGTCCGATTCCCTGGGCCACGCAGCGGGTCTGTCGCTGGGCCTGGGCCACATAACCACAAAGCGGGAGCGGTCGCCCTCGCCATCCGACTGCATCAGTCCGGACACGCTTAATCCGCCATCGCCGGCCGAGTCAAGTGAGTATAGCCAATAATCGCGCTATCGATACGCTATCGATACACCGATAAAGTGTCAATTGAGATCGTAAAATAAATCATAATCAAATATTGTAAAAAACAAAGCGAAAAACTAATGTAACAACGCATCACCTATAAAGTAAAAAGTCAATATAAAGTAAAATGTAAAAGATCGGCGACAATCGATAACAAAATGCAGTTCCAAAAATACTCGAATTTTAACTTTTTAAATCTATTTTAATAATTTTTCTGCCATTAATAAACTGTAGTTATTAATTTACAAATATATTTAATACCAAAATATTGTGTTGCACAGTAATCCCACCTTTTTGAACGATAACATTTCGTTATTAGAGTAAAATCACTATTAAACTGCTTTATCAAATCAAAGTTATTAAAGAACAAAAGTACACGATCATATAACTTTACGCGAAAACTTTATTGACCTTTGTAAATTAAATTATGTAAAACACAAATGGAATGGACATTGCTTCTAACTTAAATTATAACTGAATTATATAAATTAATTTAAGTTACCCACAAATGTCGTATCAAATGCTAAATGTTAAAGAGACACAAACCGAAGGGCCTCCCAGGTCTCTCACTCAATGATTCCCATTCCAATTTGTGCAAATCCTTAAATTTCAATTCAATTCAAATTCAATATGATTTTCCATGAGTTGCCATTACTTTGTTGAGTTTCCGTTTTGAGGATGATTTTTATGATGTTAATTTAGCACGAAACAGTCTGTGAACCATTGTTAACATTTAGTATTTGATATTCCAGCATTTTCGTTCGCCTCCTCGGGCCGTGACTTTGATCCGCGAACTCGAGCCTTCTCCGACGAGGAGCTCAAGCCGCAGCCGATGATCAAAAAGTCACGCAAGCAATTCGTTCCAGATGAGCTCAAGGACGACAAGTACTGGGCGCGTCGCCGGAAGAACAACATTGCCGCCAAGCGATCCCGCGATGCCCGGCGCCAAAAGGAGAACCAGATTGCGATGCGGGCACGCTACTTGGAAAAGGAAGTGAGTACTCCGGAGATACGCCCAGAAAATATCCCCAGTATTAATCCCATTTGATCCCCAAACAGAATGCAACATTACATCAGGAGGTGGAACAGTTGAAACAGGAGAACATGGACTTGCGTGCACGTCTATCGAAATTCCAAGATGTGTAATGATAAATACAATTTTGTGACTTGGCCTGAGGACACCACAACAATTAAATAATAATAACTATTGATAAAATAACAATAATCATAACTATGATAAAACTACTAATAATGTTTAGTACAGCAGACATGAAACTTACACTAAAAGTACATATTGTATCTAAAAATATGTATATGCAAAAATATAATTAGTAAGCAAACACACACACATAAAAAACAACACATACACAAACCCCTCACGGCGTCGTGCTCCGCTTAAATATTTATTTTATGCTAAAAACTAAAAGCAAATTAACTAAACACAAAGGAGGAGAAACGAAACGAAACCGAATGGAAACTAAACATTTTTTAGAGTAGCCAAAAAAGAAAGTCTCACGAGAGCAGAGCGTTGAAAAGCTCTGCGGCCGAAGCTTTTTGCCTTTAAAGTAGCATACTTCCGAGCGCAATGGGAATCCTATCCTAAAAAAAACACAGACCTAGAAATGTTATCTTTTAAATTGTTTAATAGTTGTCTAGCCTAGTTTTACGAAAACACCCCCTCTTCTTCTGCTACTTTTCCCCCACTATTTTAATTTCTATTAAAATTATTTTTTGTAATTAGTTCTTCGGTTAAGTTTTGCTTTAGCTATTAGTGAAAGGAAAACCACACACACAAAACAAATCATATTGTAAATAATTTCGTTGCCTTTTTTCAAATTAACGCAAGAGAAGAATTACCATAAAAAGCATAAGAAAACTTGTATAAAAAATTGCAAAATGAAAACCCACAAAAAAAAGAGAAAATTAAAGAAACGCTAAGAGAAAACCATTTAGAATGAGCAAAGAACTTCCCTCCTCAGTTGCCGGGCACTTGGCAGCTGGTTAGTTTAAGTGAGCTATGATTTTTATATAAACCTAACGAAAAAAAATTAAAAAACCCAAAAAAAATTTAAAAGCAGACGGACAGAGACAGACGTTGGACAGACGTAAATGCAAAACTAGAAGTGACTTAGTTTTCGTTGTTGATTTGTTGATACTAAAATAACCAACCCAAAACTAACCCAGACATAGTCAGCTGGTTAAAGCGAGAGAACCACATACTTTTCTTACTACCTACTAACAAGAATACACAGACCATCCCCCGGAAAACCCCTTCATGCCACGCTATCCCCCCACATATTTTCACATTTTTTTCTTTTAGTTGTAACACTATTATTCGTATATCTTTTATTACAAGAAAAACTATTTCTTTTGGTGTGATTTGCAAGATCTTAAACAAACAATTAAAAAAAAAACAAAACATTTTTACATAATACCGTACAATTATGTTACTTTAAACAACAACTATTTTCGTTAGTTAAGTTTATTAATTATTATTATTTGTTATACATCTGAGTTACATTTACCTGCATACAATTATCTAGCGACTTAAGAAAATATATGAAACTACAGAAAAATTACCGACCGAGAGCAAAATTAATATTTTTTATATTCAGCAATCAAAATCGAAGCTATAACGAGCGTTAATTAAGTTCATTAAGCACTTCTTCTTAACAAATTTCGATAAGTTTTATTTATTCTATGGAAAAATGTGCAAAACCAAAAAAAAAAACAGAAAGAAACCACAAAAGCAAAGATCGAAAAAGGAGAATGAGCGTAACGAAAAAGTAAGAAAGCAAACAACAAAAAATTGTGTGTAATAATAAAAGTCTAAGCGTTGCTTTTAACTATTGAAAACTCGTTTATTTTCTATCTATCCACCCACACCACCCCTCGGCTGCCCCTCCCTTCGCCACATAGCTCATTGTTAGTAAATATCTAATAATAAAAACCATACAAGGATCTCAAAACAGAGTTAAAGAAATAAACCTACAGCCGTAACCGTAACCGCAACCGAAATCGAAACTAACCCTAACGATAGAAGCAAGAACTACACAAATTATATAGTAATCTACTTAGCATTATATAGCAATATAGATATTTAGCCACCTCCCAGTTTTTTTTTGTTCCCCCAACAGGACCCCCCAAAAACGAATCTAACCTAAAAGCCTTTTGCACTGCTATGAGACCACCTAGAGAAAACAACCACAAAATAACGTTAAAGATGAAGAACGAACCCCACAACTAACCCAAGAAAAAGTCTATGAAAAATGTTGGGTGTCATTTTGCAAAATGAAAATTTTTGAGCTTCGGTTGTTGAATGAATTCACACAAGTATATACGATAAACTTAACATTTATGGATAACTCAAAATAGCGGACTATACGACTAAGCAGATTCAAGCAATTGCTACATATTTGTACGAAAAACCAGAATAAAAACCAAAATCATGTTATATTTATATAAAAATATTTATACCTAAGTAATATAAAATTGCGCGTAGAGGTGAAAACAAATTAAGGCAACATTTTGCTTATTTACTTGACCTGGGCATTAGTTGAACGAGCAGTAGACCTCCCCTCACACACCTTTAGTTAAGCGTAGTTTTGTATATTTTTAACAACTATTGTTTTCCGTAGTTTGTAGTTGAATTTTTGTAGACAATTTTTGGTTTATGTAGAGAATTGTTAAATAAAAAACGGATAAAAAATTTTCAACTGAATTAAGGTAATTCGAAATTAGTTTGGCTGACATACAAACATACCCACACTCACGCAGCAAAAAGGGGAGGATGTGAATTCTCTAGCCTACTTTCAGGCATGCAAAAAAAGCAGGCAAACTTTTCCAGGGCAAGGAAATTTATTCAAGGTTTAGGCAACGAGTTTGTTGTAGATATTTTTGTTCAATATTTCTCCTGAGTTCAAAGAATAGGAAAACCCTAAAACAGATTTTCGAATAAGAATGTTCCGTAACAAAATGTAGACTTTGTAGCAACAACAGAAGACGATAAAACTGAAAAGTATGAAACGTTTAAAAACAAATATGAAAACTAACGAAATTATGTTTAATATACAATAAACATTAAAATATATTTATTATATACAAAAAGAATTAGTTAAATGAATTACGCATGCTACAAAACCAACAAGCGAGTAACTTTTGTAGATAAATTCGTAGTTGATGATTTTTATATCTACCTTATACAGATATTAGTTGTATGCATATAGTACACTCAACTAAATAGCAAACGGGCAAGGGAAGGCGATCGTTAGGCAGGGTTAAAAATAGTAACTAAAGACACAAATTGTTGCAGTGCAAAGCAGAAAACAAACAAAAACGAGAAATTAGCAAAGCGATAACTTAAGTATGTAAGTAACGGGCGAGAGCTGAGTGTTTTTAGTGATTAAGAGTTAAAAAAATGGAAGCGTGGCGAAAACAGGAGCGGAGGCGCGAATCGAATGGCAATGCGAAACATATTAAATGCTATTATATACATAATATTATACACATATACATAACTTATATATACATATATATACATAAAAATATATTCTTACATATTATTAAAGACAAAAATGTTGTTGAATTTTAAAATCAATAAAAAGCCCGAAAAAAATCCATAAATAAAAATATTTAAATGTAGTGAGAATAAAAAGTGGACAAAACCGAAAACCAAAAAATTGTTAGTTGTTGCAAAAAATCAAGCTAAATTAATTAAATAAAACCAAACTAAAAAAGAACTTAACAAAGCGTTTTAGAGCCTTTACTTATATTTTGAGATTTTTGCAAAATGAAACGAAATGCAGATAATTTTATAAAATAAAAGCAAAATAAAGCTGAAGGAAAATTCATAAATAACACAGAGCTACCATAGCTTAAGTTGAGGCTTAAACGAAAGCTAGATCAAAGCTTAGATTAAAGTCTAAAAGGAGAAAAGAAAACTTCATTTGGTACTTAACAAACTTAGGAAAAATCAGCTTGAGGCATTAGAGCAATGCTAAAAGAAATCCACAAAAAACTCAGCCTATTGTTGTTGGCAGCATGCAAAACACAAAGTAAACACGAATGGAAACCAAATTTAAACTAAAATTTAACGATGAAAGCCTAAGCAAGGACACTAACATGTACCTAGATATATATACAAAAAACCAAAATAAAACTACAAAAAAACCAGAAGAGAAAACCTAAGGAAATTCCAACACAAGTGCTCGAGATGCTGCAGATATTAGCTATAATTTATTACCTAAACTGAAGTCATTTGTTAATTATTTTACACTCAACTTAATTAAGCTTAAGTTCCAATACATTCAATATAAGTTTTTGTAGATTTTGTTAACTAAATAAGAAAGTTATGTTTCTGTTATGGGCTATGATTTAAAAAGTAAACTGAAATTAATGCGTAGGAACTTCAAGCGATGAGAAGTGAGATTTAGGCGTGACGAATAATTATGTTTTATGAGAAACTGCAAAAAAGAACAAACAATAAAGGTTTAGATACAAATTTTGAAACGATAAATGCAAAAAAATTAATAATAATTTTTTTATTTTGTTGGTATACTTAAAGGTAAGTTGGTCCCTTGCATGTGTAGCCTACTTTGTGGCAGCAGCTCTTCGCCTGTATTTATGCAACACTTCTTTCAGATCTCCTGTTCAATGAAAAGCTTTACGGTTCCCGCCTTTTCTTTTGTAAGTATTGTTGTGAGTTGTAAGTGGTTGGCCTTCAAAGCAGCTGGAATACATATATTTTAGGGACTGGAGGTCAAGTTGATTGCATAATTGGTGACTGGATATGAGGATATGAATATGTAAACTGGATATGACATGGGATGTGCAACAGTTGGCTGCAGTTGACATGTTGCATCAATAAAGCTGCCGGAAATCCTAGAACGTAACTTACAACCACTGATATTCAATTATTTCTATTTAAATTATTTTAAAATTTTAAAATATTTGTGTTATTTTCAAAAAATAGTTTGGTTTGGCTCAATCTGCAAAGTAAAAGTCCAAAAACGCTACCTTAAACAATCAATTTGCACTCCTTTTTGATTATAAAGGAAACTCGCTCGACTTCATTATACCCTTGTAGGGGGATAAAATTTAATTTTTAAAAAAAAAAAAGGAGCCCCCCCCAAAAAAAAAAAATATTTTTTTAAAAAAAAAAAAACCCAATATAAACCCCCCCCCCCCCCCCCCTCCCCCCCTCTTTTTTTTTCCCTTTCTCCCTTTTTTTTCCTACCAATCTTCCTTTTTTTTAAACCCAACAAATAACCCCCCCAATTTTTTTTTTAAAGAAATAAAAAATTTAGAAGGGGCCGGGCCCCACAAAAAAAAAAAAAAAAAAAAAAAAAAAAAAAAAAAATTTAAAAAATTAAAAAAAAAATTTTTTTTTTATTTTTTTTAAAAAAAAAAAAAAAAAAAAAAAAAAAAAAAAAAAAAAAAAAACAAAAATTTTTTATTTTATATTCATTACCAAGCAAACGAAAAGAAAAATGGTAAAATGATTTGTTTGCCAGCTCAACCCGAACGAAAAACCCGAAACGGCGATATGCTCCTATTATGCAAAAAATTGCTTCAAACTAATTTCCTGATATATTGCTTACAAAATAAACATCTCAAACATGAAACTCGCAGCTAATTTCCGTTGATTAACAACAAAAGCAACAGCAACTATTTGAGATATGGAAACTGCATAACCAGTGCACAGAGAACAAATTTGAGATTTGTTGAATGGTACATGAAACACATTTTTAAACTCATGTTCAATATTTTTCATTTTATTTTTACATTTTTTTAGACCCTACTATTAGTATTTCAATTTTTTTTTCTGAAAACATTTACAAATTTTTCCGTCTGCACGTTTTAAACCAGACCCAAACCTGAGGCGAAGCAATTCGATTACTTCCCTGCGGGGAAATGTGGCAATAAATGCGAGCAATGCTCAAACATATGGTTCCTCTCGCCCGCCGCGCATATTTTTATACTGGCTACGGCTTACGAAAGCGAAAAAATGAGTTAACAACAACGGCCACTCAAAATGTTAATAGCCAGCAACAGCATGGAAACTGGTAGTATGCAGGCAACCGCTAACAGACAACGTTGAACTTGAGCTTGAAATACAAGCCAAGCGAAGCCAAAAGAGAAAGACGCGGGAAAGAGAGGAGGGGAGGGGGAGAGGAAGAGAAAGAGACAGGGGTTAGTTTGAGCCAAGTTTGTCGACAACTGCATTTGTTGATCAACCCAAATGAGGTCAACGCGTCGTATACGTAATTTGCGTTAAATGACAAAACAATATGTAAGAGCGATACAACACTTATGAAACGCTAAAATTCGATTACAGTCGAATTTCGGAAATATTTAACTCTATTGGGTACTCTAGAGTCTTAAGTTAATAACATTAAAATCACTTAAAAAATTATTTTTTTCAATTCAAAATGTTAAATAAAAATGGTTTTTAACCATATTAATTAATTGAATTAATCATCCATTACTTTTATAACAAAAAAAATATTACAAGTAGTTGTTTTTTAAAGAGTTTAACTTGTAATAACATTATTACATTTTTTTAATATTTTAAAAAAATTTATAAAAATGATATTTTATCTGAGTTTTTAAACAAGTTTTTCCTTATAAAACTTGGAGTTATGGAAGATCGACTGTATTTGTTGTCATTATTGATGTTGCTGGGTGTTTATACTGCTGTTGTCTGTTGAATGGCGCCGGAAATGCGCATCATACGATAAATGACGCCCACTGGTAAACTAGCACCCCCAGCACCACCCACTATCCCCCAGCCCAATAGTTTTCTTCCACCCCCCCTCGCCAACCCCCGCGTGCTCATCATTTTCGTTGGCGTCGCCTGTTTTGACAGTTGACGTTTTGCCGGCAAATTTAAAAAAAAAAAAACCGAGAGAGGTGCCGCCCGAAGAGAGCGGGAGCCCCCACAGTTGATGACGCAACAAAGTCGTAAGAGAATCCAACCCCAAGTGACATAATTCGAGTATAGCACTTGCTCTTTAGCCCCCAAAGAGAGCTTGATTTTTGCGCTCCAAGCGAACGACTGGCTTTTCACACCATTCATTCGCTGTTGAACAGCGGCCGTGGAAAGTTCAGACAGCAGGGAGACGTTCAGAAAACAGGCCGAAAAAATACAAAAAAGCCAGACTGTATAAAAAGTTATAAAAAAAAGATGAATAATAAAAAAGGCAAATAAAAAGCAACAAAGTGGAGCGCACCCCATAAGCAAATCATCGCCGAGCCACTCGAACACGTTGTTGCCGCCGCTGCTGCTGCCGCTGTCTCTTTCGCCCCAGTGCTTTCCCCTCTCTTTCTCGTCGCGTAACGTAAGCGTATTACAAAACAAACGCCAACGTAATCAAAGAAATAAATAAAATAAAATAAAGGCGCTCGTTCGCGTGTTTCGCAGTGTAAATAAATAAAATAAATAAATTAGTCACAAAATATTAAACGGGGGCCAAGTGCAACCCCCTCCCGGTTGCCGCGCACCCTTCGCTCTCAAAAAAAAAAGAAAAATTAACCCGTGTGTGCGGCGGGGTTACGTAAAGCCGACGGACAAGCGCCGTTCCAAGTTCTTACAAAAAAAAAAAAATAAATATTGAGAAAAAACCACACATAACACGGGAAAATATATTCCCCAATTCGTTTTTTCGCACGCGTGTGGCTATAAATTTTTGGCAAACAACAAAAAAAATATATACAAAAATATACAACAACAACAAAAAAATTTAAATAAATTGGAAAAAGAAGAAGAAGAGGGAGAATTTCGTGATTGTGTGAGAGTGTGTGTGTGATTCTCGACGAGCAACAGCCCACTGCCGCACCCCCCGCAAAAAAAACCGCCCCTTTTTTGGGGAAAAACAAGGAGGCGCGGTTCAACAGCGACAGGTAATTCCATTTTCCCTCTCTTCGTCTCTCTTTGGCGCTCTTTAGCCTCTCTCTGTGTGTGTTACGACATCAGACCACATGCTTTGCCCCTGTGTGCGTGCGTTTGTGCCCCTGTTTGTGTGTCCAATGTGAATGAACGCTCAACAAAGTTGCAGTTGCATTTTTCTTAGTTTTTCCCGCTCTCACTCTCTTTTGTGGGGGAAAAACTGATTTTCATTTGCTATCTGCTGATTGTGAAAACAAAAAGTGCAGTCGCAGGGGGAGGAAAAACAGGGGGGCGGCTCTTACGTGTTGCCATATTTTTAAAGGCATTACTAAGCGTTTTTTCTGCGCTGTTTTGTTGACGTTCTGGCTCTGTGGCCAATTGAATTCGGCCTGCACTTGATAATCATTTATATTTAATGAGTGATAAAACTTTCGCGGAAAAATATATAACCGATTTCGTGATAAATTTGGCCTGATAACCAGGTGTGCTATTTTGCATTAGTTTTTCCATTTGTTAGATAGGTTAATTACGATAAATTCTCTTCAATTTTTATTTAAAAAAAACCTATGTTAAATATTAAAGAATATAGACCATTTCTGTTCTTAAAAATAAACTCTTTTTTTACATTTTATTGTGATAGTAAGGGAAAATAAGTTTTGGACATTTATTTTAAAAACTGAATTTACATTTATATTATTCAAACAGAAACCAAGATTAATTAGTGTGTTGTCAATATGAAAATAATATGCTATTGAATCGAAAATCCAAGTTAGGTGATTAATAAGTTTTAGATTATTTAAAATGCCAATATTTGAATTTTATGAACACACTTTCATTTTAAAATAGGTATAATTTAATTTTAAAAAGTACATTATTTCCATTAACGTAAGTAAAACAAATAGAGCAATAAATAAGTGTTTAAAAAACTGGTTTATATTTTCCTGGAATCTGAGGCTTAGTCATCGCTTTTCTACCTCCATGTTTCCAATCTCCGATAATCTACTAAAAATTCGCCTATTTGTCGGGGTCACCACCCATAATTCGTCAGCCTCCAAAGCGGGAAACTTGGCTCCTTCTCCTTTCCCCCCTCTCTTTTACCCCTCTCGCTCGGTTGACGTTTAGCGTTACGACACGCAACGTACTACGAGTATTATGCGACGTTTGCTGCCAATGAACGAGCCACAACAGCACAACGAGCCATTCAGTCAGTTCGCCCACTTGGCCCAAAACGAAAAGCGCTGAGGGGGTAAAATACAGAAAAAAAGGTTAGCTGGAAACGAGGAAAAACCCATTTGCATACGTCATCGGGCGAAAAGGTTCGTCATGAGTCAGAGTCGAATATCGAGGAAGCCAGACTCCAAGCAGCAGATCGCTGTTATATAAACAAAATCAAACACCACACTGGTTGGCATTATGTAAGGCCCAAAGGGACTGGGCCAATTAGTCAGCGAATGAGTGGGTTCTTGTGTAATCAGTGTGAAATCAAAACTAGAAATTTTGGTTGCTAATTGGCTTGCCTCAATAAATTCTTCACCCTGGTTTCTGTTTTAGTTCTCTGAGCTATTTATACGGGCGTTTATCATCGTCGTCATTGTCGTCCGTCGTCCAAATACAATGTCATAAAACGTGTGAGCCAAGCAAAAAACGACAAAACAAATGAGAAACCAATAAAACAAATATCAAAGAAGAAATCAAAATATACGAGAAACTTATACGCCAACATCAAGGCAATGAAAATTTATGTGATTTCATAACTGCGAGTATGATTTCGTAATTACGGGGAAAATTACCATCGGAGCATAATCAATTTATGGCTCACATTGTTATGCAACTTAATGGCTTATGTGGGGTGATTGGTACGTGATTAAAGAACTCTATCAAGAAGCCCAGGGGATTTCTACAATAATTTACCGATTATTTTGAAGAACTCTCATTCTTTACCTTCAATACTTCTGATTGTATCCCAAAAGTATTAATTAAATAGTGGATACAAAACAACTGTCGGTTTCAATCAGTACTTTACAACCCACCAACCAAATGGCTTGTTCCTTTATCGACTCCAATCAACGTTTGCCTACAATCACTTATCGGATTTAAGGCAAACAATGCCTGCATTCAGTTGACTTAGAATACCATCAAAGGCTGTTATAACTATAGTTATATAGATATTATATGTCATCGCATTGTCACCGCTGCCATTTTGTCTGACTGACGATGGTCGACGTTGATAAAAAGGCAGTCAGTCGTTGTCTATGATTGACATTGCATAATATGGTAAAATATAAAGCAATCTACGAGCTATTGCCCTGAGGCAACCTGGCTCCACATATTTGCAGTTCGCTTAGGAACGTTTATCGGCCATCGGATTATGCAATACGACCATACGTACACGGACCCACGATTGCAGTCGGATACACGTGCAGTTATATGAGGCGTATACATAATTTTTACTTACGCAAAGCCAAACCGAAACTATCAACGACAACAGGAACAATTAGAATCGAGTGCCTGAAAGCTTGTTTACCAACTTTTCCCTCGCACAAAGTTTCACAATGTTTCATTTCACAATGCCAACTGATATAGCAGCTGGGGCTCCCTATCTCAATCGCGTTCGCTACCTCTCTATTTTGTATATACTTGTATGGTTTCAGACCCGAGCCTCAGCTTGTGTGAAGTTCTGCTTAAACCAATTTAAAAGTAGATTTTCTCGAGTGCCTGAAGGTCGATATCAGGAAATAGCTTTTGAAAGGGAAATTTATAAGAAAACTATTAATAACTTCAAACTTATTGATATTGAAGCTTTTAACAGCTCCCAACTATCCATAACTTCTATGCTTTCCCTTTGAAAATTCAAAACCCGTCTAATCTAACCCAAAAAACTTCCCCAGATCTTATGTAACCTGCAGCCGAAATTCTATTCCGAATATAACATGCGTGTTTCGTTATATTTTTTGGGTCGCCGACTTGATCAGAAAGTCTCATGTAGATCGTATATCTGCAGACATATAAACACACCCTTGATAAATTCATTTTCTTGGCTAACTACCAACTTATAAGATATTTCAGCATTACTTAACAACGAGATTTATGCAAAAGCAAAAATCGCCTGATATAAAAATGTTCGCGCGTGTCTCTGTGTGCGTTTTTATATCTCATGCCGATTGGGGAAAAACTAAAAATTTCATTTGCACGCAGTTTTGTAGTTTCATTTCGCTTTTGGCACACTTTGATTGCCTTTGCAAATGTAAACAAATTATAACCAAAAATAATAAAAGAAAAGCGGGGAAGGAATAGAGATCTTGATGCCGGGCGGACGACAACCAAAAAAATTGTTTACATAACAAAACCAGAATGCGAAGGCAAAGACAAAACCGAACTCCAAACGTGTGTGTGTGTGTGTGCGGGTGTATTTGTATCTGTGTGTTATGCCGGCATTGTTTATCTTAAAGATACAATACGAACGACGTCAAAAGCAAAACGTGCGCACAATCAAAAAATAAAAACCGAAACAAGCCAAAAATCAAACAAAAACAAAACCAGACTCTCTTTTTCGTATCTCACGAATACGTTGAGCAAGAGTTCTCGGAAAGAGAACCTAAGAGAACGCCTAAGAGCGGCTAAATATGCTACAGTATTGGTGTAGAAGTATCTGTGTGCCGATGATTTTGATTTCGTTACTTTAGCCAGCGTCCGCGTCAGTTTGCTCTATGTGATTCAGTGTTAATTTTCATAATATTATGTAATAGCATGTGCCGCCGTCTGGTTGCGATTATATTCTATTTTCTATGCCCTACCTTAACCGCAATTATACATGTGTAAACAGTAGTTTATTAGCATCGAACTTGGTGGATTTAGTTTAGCTTTCTAGGGTTTCCCTTCCAGCGTTCGGGAAGGTTCAATGAACTCTCTATTCCCTTTTTTCCGGTCGCACTTTATATAAGAATACGAGTGTTCCAGGGCAATTAGCTTTGTGCTAAGGCGACGAAAGTCACGTCATCGTTTTTTGGGCTAGTGGTGCGAGAAATGCACTTCGAATGCGAGATATCTGGCATTCTCCAGTGGTTAAGTAATAGATACAGTTCTTCCTCTTCTCCGTGGGCCATCCAGTAATCAAAGAGCGAGAGCCCCAGAGAGAGAGAGTGGGTTCTCTCTCTCTCTTCGATTTGATTGTGTGGGTTTGGAATTATAAAACAGAATCAAAAGCTGCCTCTGAGAATCAGTCAGTTGATTTCATTTCTTTGGCTGCCTGCTTTATTTTTGCCATTTTTTTTTTTTTGAGCGTTACGTAAAGCCCCTATCTTCTTCTTGTTCCGCTTACTTCACATTCTCCCCGCTCTCTTTATCCCTGTCTATGTGTGTGTGCACTTCTCCCGGAACGGAATCGAAATCAAAATCCAACTCATATTCTCTTTGTTCTCTGTGTTTTTCAGATGCCTCGCTGCTGCTGTTGTCAAAACTTCTTCTTCAGTTCAACTAAAACAGCCAAAAGCAAAGCACGCAAGAGATTAATTGATGGCAAATGAAGTGGTGAAACAAATGAAATAAAAATAAATTTATTGAATAGAAATACCAGTGAACGCAAGTGAAGTGAGTAGTGATGAGAGAGATATAGATATTGTATCTCAAAGATAGATTCTAACTGTTGCATACGTGACTGCAGGCAGCTACGAAAGTGAAAATAGAAATAAAAATAAAAATCAAATCAGAAATCGGAATACCAATCGGATACAGTGATGCCTCTGTCGCAGGGCTACTGGTCGAAGCCCTCGCTGCGCGCGATGAAGGTGCTCCGCCAGGAGCAGCCCCCGCCAGCCGGCAGCCCACTACAGTGTTACCTGCCCCACGGCGACGGCCAGAACTCACTGCACTACCTGCTCGCCGAGTCCTTCGCCAAGGTGGGCAGTCTGCCCCAGGCCTTCGATGTCTACGAGCTCATAGCCAGCCGGCAGTTCGACGGCCACGTCCCCCTTGGACAAGCTGAATGCTTTGGCCAGTGCACTGACCTCCCACATCCGGCAGATGGGCGGCATTGCCACCACGCCCACCGTTAAGGATCCCAGCCCCAGGATATCGGCAGAAAGACTGGACCTGATGCCCTGGTCGAGGTATCACCATCATCAGGGCAAACAGAACCAGGTCCGAGCAAATGGAATTCCTGCGCGGAGTGGGCAGTGAGTCCATGATGGGTGAGGCGGCGAGTGAGAATCCCCTGGATCTGCATTCGCCCACGCGAGAACTAAGAGTTCCCGAGTCCGCTGCAGGATCTGGAGGACTACGATCCGCTGTTGTGCCCCCTCTGCTGCGACATCCTGCGCTGCCCGGTGACCACCAACTGTGGTCACACCTTCTGCCGCCAGTGCTGCGAGACGATCACGCAGTGCAACATCTGCCTGGTGCGATTTCCCCGCATCCAGGACTCGGCCGCAGGACCTCCAGGAGCACCGGTCTGCGCCCTGACCACCACCACTGCGAGTGGAGCGGGTTCTGGATTTTTTGCGACGCCCTCGCCCTCCGCCAACCTCAGCCTGATGAGCTTTCCCTCGGGCTATGGCGTTCAGCTGGCGTCCAGTGTCCACCGCCTGGCGGCACCACCCATGACAGTGACCACCACCACGGTGGCGTCCACCACGGCCACGGCCACCACCACCATGGCCTCCACCTCGGCGGCCGCTGCCCTGGGCCTGAGTGGTTATCCCTCCGCCCACCGAGGAGGCAGTGGCTCCAGCGCCATGAAGTTCATGCCCGACGTCCTCGTTCGCCGCCTGGTGGAGAAGTGGTGGGGCCCCGATCTGCAGGCCAAGAAGATCAGCGAGAAGGCCAGCAGCTGCATGCACCTCAATCTGCTCGACGACGCCCTCAAGTTCTGCAATGCCAGCTTGGAAAAAGGTGAGTTTGAAAATAACTTTTAAGGATTTTTATGGGGAAACCTTTTATAAAGAGAAGGCTTGAAATTATGAAAAGAAATTTAGAGAATTTATAATTAGGTATTACATCATTTCCATTTAACTTTGGAATGAAACAGACGTTTCTACTATTTCAAAAGAATTTTAAAATAAACAAAAGACTTTTTTTAATAATTTATCTACTTTATTTTATTAAATTTACTTGAAATACTTTTCTATTGTATTTGAGGAAAAACCTATATTTCCTAAAAATGTTTAGTCCCGAAATATGTTTCAACCCATTTTTAAAATCACCTTTGGACTTTTTTAAAATTGCTTTCTAAAAAAACAAGGTCCTTTTTTTTCTTGAATGCGGTTTCTTTTTGCCTTCAAAATTTCTGCAAGTGGAGTAGCAATCCTTTTCGATTCGCCTGCAATGGGGGGCGAATTGAAAAATCAATAAAGGGCAGGGCCGAAAATGGCAAGGCTCAATAGACTCCATTTGCTGACGTCAGGCGAGTCGAGGGAACCCATTGGTGGCGCAACAAGTTTCCCTTAGCAGAACCGCCCACACTTAACCCCTTGGAACCCACGCGGCGTATGCGTATTTTCGCCGATACTTCCACGGCACTTTCCACCCACGAATGTCAACTTTTTACTCTAATTGTGTGTGCTCAGCTCGAATGCTCAAATGACACTGGCAAAGGCGGGCCAAGGACCATTTTATCAAATATTTATAGAGCAAATTCAAAGTAAATAAACCTTGGCAGAGGGAGCGGCACAAATTGTATCTGATGGATGCGTGAACTGCGGCACGCGCTGCCAGCTCAACTCTTTCCGCACCCGAAATGTTGTTCTGAAAAATCTCTCTTCTTTTTTTAATGAATTATTGAGGCGCTGAGTCAGTCACTTGAGCTCAAGAGGATTTTCCCCTTCACTCGGCGGGAACACACACAAAAGAAATATTGAAACCCAGAACAGCTAATTAATCATTTCCATTTTCCCAGAGACAATTTTGTTGGCTGCCCTCGCGGTGTCATAACGAAAATAGTTTTTTTTTTTTTTTTTAAAGAGCATAAAATCACAGCGATTTACGCACTTAGAAATCCATCAAACAAAATGTTTCGAGTACCAGGCCAGCGGGAAAAAAATTAACAAAAGACAGAAGGCATCAGACGAGAAACACTTGACTCGTCAAGAGTTCTATTTTTTCAGCTTTTCTTGGAAGAGGGGCTGCAGGGTGCGCTGTTTAAGCAAAACAATGGCAATGATGGACAGAATTAGGTGGAAGTGGGGAGAGAAAATAAAAAGCCATAACTAAAATTAACCAGATCCGAGATCGGAAAACTTTGTTGGCTGGCAATTAATAATTTCGACAATTCTTTGAATGACTTTGAGGTTTTTTACTTCACTATTTATAGGCAAGCGGAATTTTATTGTAATAAATAAGCATGCCTGCGTTATTTTGTTATTTATCTACCGGTAAATCAGTGAGCTATTTTAGATAACGAATAAATTATTTATGCTACTCCACGATATTCGTGATATTTGTTCTATCAACGATTCCATTTAATCGACTTTTTGGTCACCATAATTGCACCTATTTGCTGTTTACCAATCAATGTTTGCTTCTCTTTCGACGATTTTTCGCTTCTATATTTTTCTCTGTTTACCCCTAGAATACAAAATTAGATGGGGTCTTTCCACCTCCCCATCTACAAATTCTCCCTCGGGTGAATCAAAGTGTTTTCGCTCCCCATTCGCTTTCACCGGTGGATATAATGCATCAAAGTGTCTGGCATTTCTCGGGGTATTAAGTTGGCTTTTTGTCGGCACGTGGGCGGTGGGATTTTTCACCTGAAACGCACACAGAAGTTGGAGACCTGAAGAGCGGTGTTACTTTCATAATTGTCATTATCAAGGTGTAGGGTACTTTGTCAGCCTGTTTTTGTGATTAGCAAAAGTGTGTGCTGACGCATCCATCGTACGACTTTGTTGTTTACCCCGAAAGCATAATAATTAACGGGGGGCATTGGGTTTATATGTTGGATTGAAATAGCCGCAACGTTTCAGCTGACACGTAAACATCGAAGAATTATTCTAGTCGGTCTATTTATAATAAAGTATTTCCAATGTATTTGTTCTATTTCGTTTGCTTTTTGTCTTTTTCGTTATTTCCTCTCTTTCAATCGCCACAATCAGTTATTGACTTTTGCTGATAAAAAACAAAAAAGTCCCACAGAAGTAAAACGAAAAAGACTTTAAGTAAACACCTTTGATAAACAAAGTGTCGAGTCATGGTTATAAAAAGAATTCAACGAAAATGCAAATCCAAGACCCACGTCCCAAGCAATTAAGTGAGCAAATAAAGCGTTTCAGCAGGGATTCGTCGAAGCCAAGCTCATCACACATACGCCCTGTGGTACGCAGCCAAGTGGCCCACTTGACAATGAAGATGTCAGGGCAAAGTGTCAGCACTCTAGTATTCCGCACAGACACTCATCCTCCTGCAGGAGCTTAATGTCCTGCTGAAATGAGCCCGAGTCCTGGGCCAGACATGCACAATTTAATTTACGTATACGTTGGCATGTCTTTTAACAACCTGAGGCTGGTAATGTAGTCGTTGACCTCATCAGGAATTTCGCCTTTTTTGCCAAGTATACAGAAAATAATTAACAAAAAAGTAATACAGAGCTGTCTGAGTGGAAAGAGTTGTTAAATGAGCCGCAAGGACTTGGCCTGAATACATATTTGCTTAGCAGGCAGCAGGGAAAAAAATATAAAACAGCGAAAAGGTAGGGGTTCCATTAGAAATATTGCATTGAAAATGCCTTCATGTCATGCAAGGCTTTTTTCCTTTGGCCGCTTCTAATTTAATACGTTAATACACGTGAATGTGTATGCATTAAATGTATATGGTTTACATTATATGGTCGATCGTATAATTATATAGCGTGTTTTCGGGCTGACCAGTCGACTGCATTTAATGTTCCCTTTTCGAGTTGGGGTTTTTTCTGTTTTTCTGTTTGGCTGAAAGAATTTAGCACTAAACATGCAATTAATTTCGTTATTTTTTTCGCCACGTGGCTTTTCTGCCCTTGTTTCCACCGATTTCCATTAACTTTTATGGCCCGCTGGATTTCCTTTTCGCTTCAAATCATTTTTTTAGTGGTTCGTGGAACTCCAATTCGGACTAACGAGCCAGGCGACTTCTTGGCGAAATTATTTCAATTTATGCGCTTAATTAAAATGTAATTTCTTGGTAATTAGTTGGAGGTGGTAGCTCAAGGCGTTGACTTCTACGGAATTTCTTCCAAGAATTTAAGGAATGTAACCTAATCGGGGGGCTTATTCTATGTGTCATATTTTTTGATTACTGTCCGCAACTGATAATGATATGTACAATATGCTGGGAGCTTATAAGGTTTTTTTTTTTTAAATATTTTAGATAATTTTATTTAACAGGAGTAATTCTTATATTTTAATTTCTAAAAAATTTGAATTTTAAAAAGGGATTATTCTTTTTAAACTGAACTGCCTTGACTCACTTTTTTTATATAAACAACCGTATCCAGTATCAGCATAAAATAAATATCATTGTTGTTATGATGATAAGAATGGCACTTTCTCATCGTAATTGGAAAGCGTCTTCCAGGGTGGAACCCTGAACTCTAGAGAACCTTGCCTTTGTTCGGGACTATCAGACTATAACCCAAAACCCAAATAAGGCACACCTCGCTGGACATGTCCGATGCGATATGGCGATGATGGGGAACAAATTGGGTGAATAATATATCCATTCATGTGATTAAGACGTGACGCTTATCGCACCACGGTGCCCGCTCACCCAATACACCTGATAAAGCCAGCCCATTAATACTATATGCGGGTATTTATATGTGCACGATTTGTGGTAATTGCTTGGAGAGCGCCTTGATCTTGTTAGCTTTGTTTTGCCCGAGGTTGAGTGCTCGTGCCATAAAACATTTGCCTGCCTTCATTGTCGTCATTCCCCTATTTTTAAAACGAACCCAAAGTCCCTGCAGGCCCCTCGCTTTCTGCAATCATTCAGAGTGACTGCACTCATTAACATTTGTTTCTAGCCATTTCTGACTGTGCTTTTGATTTCTGCCTTTTTTTGTGGCAGCTAACATTTTTTAATTAGCCAAACAAGAGCTGGAAACAGTGCTCCTGATTTTTTTCGGTACACGGAACAAAATATAAAATAGTCAATTTGAAATGAAACATTTATATGCGAAATGTAGAAAAGTAAAAATAGTATTTTAGTACATACATAAGCTATTTTTAAAATTAATTAGAAATCATTGCTTGAATTCATTGAATTTTAAATACAATTCTTAGAAGTGTAATATTATTTTTTTCCTGTGTACCCAAAGCGCAGGCAGCCAAAAATTTATTGCGCATTTTGAGGTCGTTGAGTTCTTTCCGTGAAAGTGAACAAAGAGAACCCGCAGGAGGAGCAGGAAGGTGGGGGAGAAAGTGGGAGAGAGTTTAACGACCACAAAATTCAACTGGCCTTGAGAAAGCCAGTTGCCAATGGCCGTCACAGATACAGATGCAGATTTGCTTTAGAATGTAGTCGAGCAAAAGATTGTGTTAATTCTCAGCACTGTGCTTTCTTTTTGCGATATTATTAAGTATGTGCGATTTGATTTATTTCTTTCTGCGTGCGCTTTCTCCACCCCCTACCCCTGATATTTTTTTCTCGCAGACGCCATGCGTTGCATAGCCGGCATTCCCCGTGTTCACGTATCTGATAGATACTTTTTGGCATGCTCTTCGCTACATATAACCCCGTCCCTCGACAAGTCTGGCGCACATTTCTAAAATGCCATCGCACATTTCACTAGCTAGCACCGAGTAAAAAACTAGAATAAAAAAGAATTTACAATTTACTTTCAAATGCGAATTCTAACCCGAAAGGAATTGTTTGTGCTTTCGCCTCAAATATTCATTTGCTTTGGGCCTGAAAATGTTCGGGTC